AGCTTGGACATGGCCAGACAATGGCCAGCCATATAAACATTGACCGGAGACCGTGGACTTGCGCGAAGAGGACTGAAATTCTAAGCCTCCGGGAATTGCTTCCCAAACAAACCCTTTTTTTGTTGCCTCAGCTACGTAAGACTCTACGACTCTACGAGTCACTTCTGTTGAGCCACTGACTATCTATACACACATTTGACTTTTTTTTTTGGGGGGGATCATGAAATTCACTACATGTATGCGATCCTCCATTGGTTTTATTTGTTTCAGTTTTCCACTCAGGTAATTGGGTTGGTGTTCCCAATGTCATTCATTTGTTTCAGGTATCAATGACCTTCGATTTGCATCGTTGGCTGGTGTCACCTGCATACTGTGGCTTGCACAGTGAGACCCGAGAGCAAAAGCCAAGAACTGCCCTGTGTGACTATTGCTATCATCTCCATCCTGTGGGCCATGGCCATCTATAGAGTCTAGAGGATCCTAATGTGTTATTTTTTGACAGAGGTGTTTCTTGTTAGTGATTATGTTGGCAGCTGGGTCCGTACCTTATGATGTTTTTCGTTGTTGTTTCAACTGTTTTTTTTGTTTTTAACCACACATTGTATGTTTGTTTTGTTTATTGTTTAACCACACATTGTTGTATTCCTCATGTACAAAGGTTTGCGTGTTGTTCACAGAAGCAGCCCCACAATATGTGACAAAGTCATCCGTTCCTCAAGATCTTAGTGTGTGGATGTGAATTCAACAACATAGCCTCCAATAACCATCACCCGCAAAATCTAGGGTTTGGGGAGGGCCGCCACCAGGTGTTCATTGAATTGATTCAATGTTGACTCTCCCTCAGTCTACTTTTGCTAGTTTCCGGTTTCCAGGTTTCAAAGCAACACACAAGTGTCACACAGTCCAATGGCTGTGTTGCAAGAAAGAGAAGTCACGAATTCCAAACCAGGTACTGCACCATGGTACAGTAGATCGTTAGGCACCACAGTCGTCCAAACCGGTCCAAACGCTGCACGACAGTCGTCCAAACCGGGGTCGCATGATAGGAGTCCCATGGAGCCTTCATGTCACAACAGCTGTTCTGCGGTCACTGATTTTTGTTGTGGCTGGGATCAACTTGTGACTAGTGTCAATGCACTTGTTTTCATAGCCAGAAGCACTGGGTTTCATGATGGCCCCATTCTTTTGTTTAACACTCATACGTACATGTCCATAAGTCCATCAGTAATCCCAGATCAGAATAGTATTAATTTTGGTGGTTGGTTAATCTGCATAGCTCGGGCCCTTTTCAATCCCTTGCCAACAGATATCACTTCAAAATCCTTCTCCCGAGGTATTTGATTTTGGTGGTTGGCTACGTCTTTGCCCAGACGAAGATCTCGCCAACCTTGCGCGGCATGAAAGCCTTGGAGCCCAAAGATGGCATCACAGGCCGGGCCGATCGCGCGTTCCGCGTTCCCTGCCAGGTGAGGGTTGGTAGATGTTATCAGAGCTGTCGTCATGTCGTCATTGCGCGATAATGATAAATTGCATTGTATAATAATTGGAATCAGAATAACATCAAATCAGGAACAAATGTCAATTGAAATTGTATTCCATTAGGATTTGCAATCCTTTGCCTTCTGACTCTGATGTGCTTACTAAAGTGCATTCAATAAGAGCAACACAATTCACCAAACGACTCTGAAAGCAAGAGGGGGATTGCATGGAACTAGATTACATCCAATAACTGTTTAGTAGATACTCGACCTTATGAATGTATGGCAATTGTTAGTACAGTACATAGTTTGATGAAAAGTGTGCGCTTGAAAGTTGAAAAAAAACATCTCATTATCAAAAGGTCGGCACCGGAAGGCATCTTCAAGATGATGTCGCTCTCAATTTTTGCATTCTGCTGCCAGCCAGGACCTGAGGGCTGGTTGGGAGAGATCCAGCCTGGAACGTATTTAAGACCATCTTAGAGCTGCCATCTATTTTATGTGAGTGTATCTCCATAGCTGGTTGAGAGTGATCCATCTATTTCATGTGGCCCACATATTTAAGAGCTGCCATCTCTCCAGCAGTGTTTGTCGGCATTTGATGATGCTAGTTGCGCCGTTAAACAAAGGCGCGCTGGGTTCAAGCAGAGCGGTACTTCCAAAGCTGGTTGCCTTGTGGTGCAATGGGTTCATTCTTTGGCCGACCAACTCCCCAAGCTCATCAAGCTGCGGGAAATCCTTCAAGGCCTCAATCTGGCCGCCATAATTTTCTTTGTGCCCATGCCGTCAAGGCCTTCCAACTAGATCCAAATGATTCTCATCTCATTGAATGTTGTGACCTTTTCAGTGCAGACGAAAGGCCTGCAACCAAAGCTGAAGTCGATTTTTGCCTTTGGAAGAGAAAGTTTCAAGACCGATGCCATGATCCCCCTGAGCTTTTTGGGTGCACTGTGGCAGATCGTCATCTTTGTGTTGCAAGATTTTGTGCCTTTCTCCCTTCCTCTTCAGCTCTTGAGGGTTTGCAGGATCCACGCTGTGAGTGAGTCATGGGAGTGATACAAGACCCAGAGAAGCTGGACCTTGTCATGTTTGATGCAGTGGCCTGGAAGGAATGCAGCAGAGCTGAGATTTCGAGCTTGTTGCAACTTGGATCATTTCCTCCAGCCATCCATGCTTGAGCAGGCTGCTACTTGTGATCGTCTTACAAGCATTTGTGTCATATCTGAACCTGCAAGTTCCCAAGATGAGTCCTTGCAGTACCTGATGAACATGTTTGACGATTTGATCCTTGCTGTATTTGCCTACTCCAAATTGGGTGCCGACTCAGCATCACAAACACGGAATCTTTGCGCTTGGTGAACTATTTGTGCCTTCTCGTAAACAGTGATACTCTGATATAGGAGATGGTCACGCTGAGGTTGCATTCTTGGCGAGATCTTTTGAACTTGGGAACGGAGGTTATCCACCAGATGGCACTTGTGGTTCCCCCTTCATTAATCTGGCTGCTCAGGATCGAGACCCCTTGGGTTTGTACTCATGCATCGTCTCGGACGCTCCGCACAAGTGCAACCAGTGCAACCATGATGGAGCACCTTCAGTGACCAGGGCAGAGCACTTTGCAGGATTTGTGAAGGTGGAACTCGTTGCTGACTTCTTGGAGGCCCTGAGACAGGATGAAACTTTCTCAGAGGCCAGACAGGAGGAGATTTTCTCGCAGCCAGTCGACAATGGCCTCGATCCGAACTCCCCAACCAGTGAAGTCAAAGGACGTGGGGAGATCAAGTTGCAGCGTAAAAGCAATAATCTCTGCCGCATCAGGGATGTTGAAGTTGATGTGAGCACCCTGGGAATTGCCCAAACTGCAGATTTTTCATCATGAAGATGCACTATATTCTCTGGACAATCGGCGGCTTGCTCTGAAAGGTTGCAGGAGTGGACCGCGTGCTTGAGAAAGTACAGGTGCGGCGAGATTTGTTGAACCAACGTCTAACTACCACATGCTTTGGTCGCATGGTGGTGTTCTCAAACGACACAAATGTTACAAATGTCCTTACTTGGTGGATTTCAAGGTCTCCATGACCGAGTGCCATGGCAATCGTCCAGATTGCTTGCATCATGTTGAGATGGCCCGCTCGGGGTCTATGGAGCCTACGCGCAAATATTGCAAGCTGCAGAAATTGTGAAGATCCAAGCCAAAAACCCGGCTTTTAATCAACGATCACTTCCAAGATGTATTTCACCAGGTGATGTGTAGCCTGGCTTTTCCACCAGCCCTGCCAACGGGCAAAGCAGCAGGCAAGGCTGGAGGCAAGTCAGGAGGCAATGCCAGAGGTAAGGTCAAATCAAAGAAGAAGAGATAACTTGATGCTACTATGTGCAATGCTTTGTGTGTTTGGCACAGAGTGAGAATCTGTGGGATGGCTAAGCCAATCCAAGCACTGGGGATCCTTCACATACTCTGCCAAGCTTGAAGTAGAAAATGGATGTCGTGCTGACAACAAATCATTCTATATATTGTGTTTTTCCGTGCGTGGTTCCTTAAATAACTATTCCAAGAGTTATGTGGGTTATGTTGACATGGGGGTCCCTTTAAGGCACCAGCCATGTTTTTCCCATACAGGCCATTTCATCATTCCAAAGCATCCCTGGATCCCTTCCATTCCGAAGGACCCATTTTTACGACCAACAATGGGTCCTGGACGCTCTCAGGCCCAATGTGCCCTCCATCTACACCGAGCTGGGCAGCCGAGGGGCCGAGCCGATCTGCCTGGGACACTCCTTCCCTCATGGGAGCCCCGTTCGTAGCTGGGAATGAGTCTTAATACTCATATTGAGCTATTTATGAAATAACGTCAAAATCGACTGACGACAAGTATTTCGAGGATTTCTGGCGGGGGATGGTTGAACGTGTCAACGAGGAGATTGGGGAATCCCTTCGAACAGATTGCTCCATGAAAAGGTCTCCGTGAAGATTGAAGCCCCTCCATAAGATCTGGCAGCACTTTGACAGTGAGAAAAAATGACGATGGAGGCACGGAAAGGAAAGAACAGGAACACTGTCTTGTGTCACCCACTTTGATTTTGATCCATGTCACCTTTTTTTGTGAGAAATATCCGTTGAAACTGAATCGCGGAACCAGGTTGGAGCAGAGGAGCTACAAGCGCATGCAGAAAGTATCGGTTCGTACGCAGCTTAGAACATGAGAAGGGTTCAAGTGCATCTTCAGGATGCATCAGCTGTCCAGATTGGATTAATTAATTTCTTTACATTTGTGAATTTGTGATTGGTTGATTTGGTGGTGTCGTTTTGTAGCTTGAGCCTACTGGCACCAGTTTCTCTTGGCTAATGACGACCCTTTCAACTTTCAACTGCCTCTGTTATTCCTCGTTATGACTTTGCCCGAACTTGCCCTCCAGTGAAGTCTGAGTCCCGGTGTACATTATGTGACAGACTGAGGAGGCGCATGATGGGTCGCCCTTGTTATCGACACACACACTCACACACACACTCTCTCTCTCCCTCTCTCTCCCTCCGGGCCTAGTGCTCAAAGTTCCGTGAAAGAAAAACACCACACAAAGCATCCATTGGAATCATGTCCAGCAGGGATGATGGGATTTGGCCAAACTCCGGTGCTTCCCGAACATGAAGCCATTTGTTTCACCCCTTTGCCATTTGTTACCATGCATTCCTTCCCAGACTAGAACGTTCAGCACTCCCGAACCGCTGGGCTCCAAAACGCAAGGGGAGGCACGCTTTCCCATCCTTTCCTCGTTCTTTTATCGTTCTACGTCACATCCATCAACAGCAAGGGGAGGCACGGGTCAATGCAATTTCGGCCCCTGGATAAGGCGCCATATGTCCTATTTCCACCCGTCCAGGTGCTATGTTGCTTTGCTGTTTCGTGTACTTGTTGATGGGTGCTGGGAAGCCCAGAGACGGAGCCTGGCGTGCCACCGCTCCACCTGGAGAGGGCAGCGGGTCGAAACACCTTTTGGTCGGTTCGAAAGAACGCAGGACCTGCACTAAGCGTCGTTTGTTCCAACTGTTTTATGCTTCGTTGTCTCTGGTAAGAACGCGCCAGTGACGTCAGATTTGCCAGTTTTTTATGCAAATTTGTCACTGGATCCTGGTATCAGCATGTGAGCCACGTTTTAAACCTCAGTTGTCATGTCAAGTAAGGAGATCCTTGTAAGGACCTGTGGCGTAAGCAAAACACTGGTGGGCGTAAGCCCGCGTAAGTAATTTTAGCCAATGTTGTTGGCGTAAGATATTTTTAGTGATTTGTGAAATGACAGTTTTGGACAAAGAACCTTTTATATTCCAAGCTTACAGCTTAACATACATCCATGAGATCACTGTCAGGTTGCTGGATATTTGTTTCCTCAATTGGCGGCAAGCTCCATGCTGCAGGTTGAATGTGATTCTGATGATTCTGCAAGATTTAATTGCATGGAAAACGAAATCATGATAAAGCCCACAATGAAAAGGGTTGTCCACCAAGACAAAGGAGTTTTAACAACTGCACTGTACTATCGGATGGAAACAGCAACACTGTAATGTGCCCATAGTGTCATACCTTTTTCAAGACCTTCACCTCCAAACTTTGTTTCCGGGTTGGAAGCCAAAATCCACGTAAGGTCCGCGTAAGGTCCGCGTAAGCGGCGCGTAAGCCAAAGCTGCTTTTGCCAGTAGTTGCCCATGTCTCCCAAACACAAATCATTTTCGCAACTTGGTGCAGAGCGCCAGCGACTTGTCGCAAAGATCGTCTCGGACATTTTGGAACAACGTTGCCCTTCTCTGGATGAAGCACACCTCTTGCCGAACAAGGCTTTCTCTAGATGTCAATCTGTCCTTCCTGGCCTGTCCGCTATCAGTGGTGCCCAGTCTGTCTGTCGTGCCCGCGCGCTCAGCAGAGGTGCTGCCAAGAAGCGTCGTCAACTTCGTCATCTGCGGGCTTCTTCTGTTGCTGCGTCTTCATCGGCTTCATCTTCTTCGTCCACGTCATCATCTTCTACTGCTTGATGCTGCCTAGAAACGCTGCGGTTCCTGCAGGTAAAAGTTGCTGCGCGTAAGCTGGGGCTGTGGCCGGGTACTAAAAATGTCCAGCGTAAGGTCTGCGTAAGCCGGTTTATTCCGCGTAAGCAAAACTGCGCGCGCGTAAGCAAAACGTAAGACGCGGCATAAGCGTTGCCTTGTTTGGTGCCGGGATATAAGACGTTTAAAACACAGCTCATGTGCACTAAGAAGATTTCAAAAGCACAAAAGAAAAACAACAACGCCTTCTTCAATCACGACCTGTCCTTTATCAAGCAACTCTGAAGACCAATGCTGGAGAGCAGTTAGCAGCAGAGAACTCCAGCCACACCTTTAGGTAGTGCTAGTGTATGTGTCTCCCATTGGAACCTCTACTCCCCCCACCGGGGTCCGAGCTGGACCGAGCTCCGTTCTCTCCCCCTGCCGCGGCTGGAGGTCACTGGTTTCTTGGCCTTCGGGGAACGGACGGACGGCAACGTCTTGGGGAATTTGCAGCTGCTTGGGCGCAGCCATTGGCGCAGCCATTGGATGGTGTCATTGGGTGGTGTTATAGTGGCGCTGTTATAGTGGCGCCAAGTGTTTTTTGGCGGGACACGAGAACTGAGAACTGCATATAGCTGCATATACGTACCGGGATGCATGATCTCATTATAGAAGTTCATACAATGCATGTGACATGATAAATGGGGCCGTAGAAATGGACCAGAAGAAAGGACACCATGAAATCTGGGACCGCAAATGTCCCCCAAGTCATGTAGACTCTTGAGGACCATACATCCCCCATTTTGAATTGAACATCCTCTTCTACCTCCCTCGTTTCGATGATCCGCCGTCTCTGCCCCTGTTGGGCGGTCATGAAACGCCACCGTAGACACGCAGGGTCTACCGGCAGCAAAAGTGAACCAAGTGAAAAGACCTACGACCGACAAAGAATGGGAAATCAAAGAGGAAATTCCCATGTGGACAAAAGTTTGCTGCAGCCCTGATTGCACAAAGACGCAAACTCGAAGAGTTCATCGTGTGCAAACCTTGGTATGGCACCCACGATGGCACCTTGTGGTAGAGCTTTACCCTCAGTCTTAAGCCGACAGTTATCAGCATGCCCAGGGAAAATGCCGTGGTTGGGCAACTTGTTGATAAAGACAACAGCTCTTCTGAGCCAAAACGTCAAGTCCCGAAAAGTAGTGTCACTTGCAGAGCATGCACGTAGAAAGAAGCCACGCTTCCAAAACAAAAAGGCAAGTTCAACGTAAGCGGTGCAAACGTCATCTGACACACGCCATTGGAGCGATGTGGTGAAGTCAAAAAATGTGTTGAGATCAACTGGATCAAGTTTAGCAAGCGAGCCTCGTGGTTGATCAATACGAGTGTTGGATGTCCATTGGAACAACGAAGGGTCTTGAATCCAATCCCACCTGGGAAACCTGGATCGCAGATCAACCGGGGTTGAATCAACGCCACCAGTATTTTGTGCCGTGTCTTCATCCTTGATGAAGTCACTGCCAATTGTACGATTCCACCTTGCAAGAAATATCTGTCTGTCAAAAACTTTCTTTCGTAGGTGCTGGAAATCGTCTGGAAAGACTGGAGCGTTCTGCATAGCAGTTTCTTTTGCAACTCTATCTGCCTCACGGTTGAGAAGGATGTCCAACCGTGTGGTGTTGTGTTCTTCCGCATACTGGTCTGTTATTTCCAATTCTGTCAAGTCATCTGCAATATGAGCTGGCACCCAAACCAGCTTAACAGGCTGAGGATGCTGGTCTTGTCTCCGTTTCACTATATTCCACAAGGCTTTCCACCAAAAAATGTGACAAACATTGTCCAAGGGTTCTTGGTGAAGAAGGAGCTGATGGAATTGGTCAACAACAGATTTGCAGTCCGTGTGAATGACAATTGCAGTGTTGGAAAGAGCGGTGGCTTTATACACAGCAAATAACTCTGCAGAGTATGAGGAGAGTTTTGGAGATTGTACAGGTCCAGTATCAATTGTTCTTCCTAATGCATCAATAATACTGTACGCAGCTGTTGTCAACCAATATGATTCAGCAAGGAAAACAGATCCATCCGTCCAGACATGCTGGGTGTCTGCATTAGCAACAAATGGAGGGGAAATATCATGTTGTACGGAGGCAAATGCCAAACGATGTTTGGCAATTCCTACTGGATGATCGACCAAGCCAAGCAACTGGAAGTTAGGACCCAGCTCATGTAGAGGAGGTTGAACATGAGGTAGGACACCGGTGCAATCTGTGAGCAAGTGTCGCAGTGACTCAGTTTCCGCATTGCAAAAACGGCATAATTTGGAGTCACAGTAGCCGGCAGCAGCACGCCTGTCTCGTGTGATGGAACACCCCACAGCTTGGGACTCAAAGTGCGCAGTCAAATCCAAAGCTTATGGTTTGATATAAAGCTGCGAGAAGGACTTGGACAATGCAACATCCAGGAACCCTGATGGTTTTGACAAATCTTTCCTTGATTGGTCGGCAGCGCGTTCATAGCACCACTGCGTACAAAGGGTGTGTAATAATGGCTTGATGTCCCTGACACCGACCTCCAGGATAGGAATGTGCGTGCTTGCAAAAACAAGGCAACAATCTTCGGACAAATGCAGGCGAAAAAGAGCTAAGGCATCCTGCACTCGGGCCAGGAGACTATGTTTGCCCAAGGCATAATTGCGCAGCATGTCGCAGCACTGATGCACACGTTCAGGGTGTGCATGAATAAAACGCCAGAACTCAAAGATCGTTGAGCATGCTCGTGCACACGTCGGTTCAACTCTGAAGGCCTTGGTAAGCAACGCGAAAACTAGCATCTTGGAGCGCCAATGAGGCCGGGATCCCCAGAAAACTTGGGCAATTTCACTCTGGATTTTATCTAATGCTCGTTTCGGAATCTTTGAGACCTGGGAAGCAAAAGAAATCTGCGGGAGAACCTTACAGCTAACCAGCAATTCTTTAGTCTGTCGTTGAATAGGCAGGTTGGCAATGTTACGGATATCGGCAACAACTTTGTACAATTTCTGTTGATCAAAAAGGAAGTGTTCCCTGTCAGACGTATACATTTTGGCCCCCAAGACATCGAACTCGAGAAACACAGGCAAGGAAGGGAAACTCTTTTTGGCAATTTGGCGAGCGTGTCCGCTCGTCGCCCAAAGTACACTCTTAGAGTGGTTGAGCTTCTGGCCTACCACAATTCCCCATTGCTCTGTCGTTTGGAAGGCACGAACAAGGTCATTGACATGGTTGATGTGCACCCATAAATAAGCGTCATCAATAAAGACACGTGAGACCACGTGTGGTATGTTCTCAATGAAGGTTGCCCAAATGTGCATGTATGCATTAATTGCAATAAGTGAAAAGGAACATCCTTGCGCGACTCCGTTTGCATTTGTAACACTTTGCTTGGAGATCCAACCCCGGTATGCAAGATGTTTGTGCAATCCTTTGTACATCAAGATGAAGACATTGACGATTCCCTTTGGAACTCCCAGTGCTAACATGAATGCACCTGCAATGGATGGGACAAGTCGGTCAAAGCACTTCGACTGGTCTAGCTTGATGCCGATTAGATGCTCATTGGAGAGCTGCGCCGAATCGATGTCGAGACGAAGGCCATTGCTAATCGAGGTCATAGACCGACCTTTGATGCCTCCATGCAATGACGGGTGCATGACCTTGGCTTGCCATGCTTGAAGCTGGCGAAAACGGGTGCCTGTATATGCAAGCAACATTGGTGACAGTATGGTAATTAATCTTTTATTTATTGGGCTCGCCGGACCTGCTTTGTTGAGAATGGCCTGTTTTGCACAAACTAATGCAGTGGGCAAGTCGCCCCCACAGTCATCTTCAACAGTACGGAAAAATCTGGCAATGACTTCAAGGCACTTTATGGGGAGAGCCTGAAGATCTGTGGTACGCCAACCGTCAAGACCAGCGGCTGCATCTGGATTACGGCCAGCAATGGTGCAGGCGAGGTCTGATGCTGCAAGTGGGGGAAGTTCAAACTCGCTCGAATCATGGCTCAAGTATGGCCAGGCAGCTTGCAAAATGCGGAGAGGTTCTTCATGGAGAACATTGGCAGAAAAAATGTCATCCCATTTGGAATTGATCAATTGAATTGCATCGTTTGGCTGACATACAATGTTTTGCTGATCGTCCAAGACAAGGTTGGAAGGTTCATCGGCAACTTTGTTTTTGAGGTGGTGGAAAATGTACTTCTTGTTCGACAAAGCAGATTCTTGAACTTTATGTTTCCAAGATTTGATGCGGGATTGGCGTTTGGAAAAATCCCAGGCTTGGAGTTGGAACTGAACCCACTTAATGTTGGCATGGATTTCAGCAAGAGTTGGTATGTGTGACTGGTGCCAAATATATGGGGCATGCAAAGTGGCGAGAGTACGCCATGCTTTAGTGATGGTTCTCGTCAAAATGTGCTCATCCATAAGGCTTGAGGCTGGACGTTGAAGGCGAGTGAACAATTCCCACAGTCTGCCAAGCACGTTCTCAAGCCAGGACCCCTTGAGGGTCAGAGCAGTATTGGACCTAGACTGACCAGGGCAGAATTGTTTTGGAGTAAAAGTGGGGTTTTGCCCACGAACTCGTTCCCCGATTCCCCAAGTGGCACCACTTGCAAGCAAAGTGTTAACACAAAATTCATTGATGATAGTCCACTTTGCCTCTTGGGATTGGGCATCATTATATTTATGTACGAAGTGGGAATCCCACAGAGTGTTCGCTTGGGTATTAGCTGTGTGCGTCTGTGAAAGACCAGGTTTACCGATGCTAGAGGTGTCAAGCTGAGCAAACTTTCTGCGTACAAAGCCATGAAGCCTAATGGAGGCCCATGAAAAGGTTGCTCTGATAGGTCGGTGCTGAATACCCTGCATACTGAGGACTTCGATGTTACGCAAGGCAGTATGTGCGACATGGTTGAGGAGAATCCCGTCAATAGAGGAACAGAAATCGCCTGAACCACTAAAAGATCCATCCTTGGAATACGTGAGTGGTCTATAGGTGTCACCATTACAATCACTCTGTGACAACGGATCGAACCACCCATGGAAGTTCACAGAATTCGAAATGGACGGATAGTGTAGTGGATTTGATTGAAAATCACCTGCTAACAGGATGGGGATGTCCCCAAACTGTGCAACGATCGAAAAGATATCGGCAAACACACTATCATTGTAGTCAAAAATTTGTTGATTTGCAGAAGCAGCAGTTTTGGCATATATTGAGAAGACAAGAGCTTTCAAAGACGGGGTCACTTGAATCCAACATGCATTAGCACGGTGGGAGTTGAATAAGGGCTTGTACAAGCCAGTGCAATCCTCCTCGAAAGCAAAAGCAGAGGTAATTTCAGGGGGCGCAAGAATGGCTGTGCCTCCATTCATGGTGGTGTGTAGCCCATCAGAACGCACAGTGCCTTTCAAGGGGGCACACATATGCAAGGCCTTCCCCGACTCAGAAACAAGTTTCTGTGAATGGCGAATATTATTGCAGCCTATACGTGTTTCTTGCAAACATTGAACTGTATCAAGAGAGTGCTTCCAAGAAATATTGGATTTC